TGGACCAGGACTCTGAGGGCTGTCTTCTTGGGCTTTGACTGGTTCTGGGCTCTGGGGGCTGTCATCCTCAACTTTGATCGATGCAGGGGCTTGAGTGGAAATCTCTTGAATCCCTGGTTCCTTTTGATTTTCGCTGCTATGACAAGTTTCTGCAAGTTTTGTTGTGTCCATCGCTTCTTCAACGTCTTCTGTTTCTGTGTCTACATGCACAGGCGTGGAAACACTTGGTGAACTGGGTACAGGTGTTCCCATTACAGGTGTGTCACAGTCACTATTGGTGGCAGTGTCAGCATTTTCTAACGCTGCCCAAATGAGCCTCTGCTGCTCCTCCAGTTCCTCCAGTGTCAGGTCATCCTCTGGTTCCTCAACAGTCTCATCAACTGCTACCCAGTTACGCCCCCGCAGAGCTGGAGAGCCGTTGGTGGGTGTGGGAGGAGGTGTACCTTTAGGAAGAGGTGGGGGAGTGGGTGTAGCAGGAGGAGTGCCCTGGGGTAAAGGAGGAGGTGAACTGAAGCAAGGCGAGCCAGGGGGCAGTGGAGGTTGAAACTGGAAGTCACCTGGGCCAGCATAATAAGGTGTTCCTGGATCTGAGGAAAGACATGAATAAAGTCACCCAAAAATTATGAAGTGACATTGACCGAACAAAGGGACAGTCGATTCAGGTATTAATGTATATTATTCTGCATTTCAGCTATGAATAAAAACAAAAGATCTGTTTATTTTAGCATTTTAAGCATGAAGTCATAAGAACAAAAGAGGATATGGAGAAATCAAGAGAGAAAAGTACAGATTACTGTCACAGTTTTCAACTCTTAGCTAGTTTTAAAACATAACTCGTGTTCAAATAACTTGTAAAGGACATTCAAAATGCATAGTGATGTGCCTACTGAAAAGAGAGACAAAATTAACAGTTACCTGATTCAATATCCATATCTGAGCTTCTATCCGAGTTTCGATCAGGACTGGACCTCGTCTTCTTCCTGAGCTGTGGAGATGAGTCAGATTCGTGCCGTCTCTTGTTGCAGGTGGCACCAGGCTGTTGGCAAGAAAGAAGGACACGTACAATCAAAGTATTGAAGGGCTCTCTACCAAAATGCATTGTCATCACATCTCTTTTTCAGTCCGTAAGCTGATAAGAATGGTAATGTGAAAATCCAGAGCCTGGAACGACAGAGAAGACTATGCGCTTTAATTAGTATGACTGGCTGTTTCAAATTGTTGTCTGTGTGCTAACTGCAGCCACCTATCACACACATAAACTGGCATTTTCTACATCATCAATCCTCTATATGAATTACATATATTTATATATTCCTAATGTTCTTCTACAGTTTTGTGGAATATATATATTTTTAGTGTATTAATATGTAATCGTTCTTCTGGAAATGTTTGTACAATCAGTATTGTAAAGTATGTACATCCTATGCCTTCTGATTTGTGTTGGATGATAAGGATGCAACCACTTATTTTATGAATGAATAACAGTGAGTAGTGAGGAAGCAGTGTGACTTTATAGGGTTTCTTTTCATTATTCAGTCACCTTATGAGAACTTGAAAAAGGAATCTACCTATGCTCTACTCTCATATTCAAGTATCACCAAGATTAAGAAGTGCCGAATTCATGGTTTAAAAGGTGCTAAAATTACTGCAATATCTACTATGGGGTTGTAATAATCCTTAAGTAACATTATAGCACTCAGTATCTTCCGCCTTTCATTTTAAGCCACAGTGGTGTGAAGGAGCACAAGTATAGATCTGACAAATAGTACCCGAGGTTGCAGTAGTGTTGACAGTAATATCTGTAGTTTGGTTAAAGCAGTGTAAGACAGTCAGATATGAAGTAGTTGCAGGAAGCAGGTTTGGACTACATATTTTGAGAGGAAACCCCCAACCACTTGAGGGATTTTAAGATAGTTACCATAGGGAAGTTGTTGGACAGATAGGCTGCGTAGTTTTGCTTCATGTGACTGGTCTGCATTGGAATAGATCCATAGTGCATGAACTCCTGGAGGTCAAAAAATAAAGAAAAAGTGTGAGATGCACAACTGTAGATGACATGCGGCCAAAAGGCACTGAACATTTTTACTTGTATGAAAGCATATTACCATTATAATAACTCCTGACAGACAAAATCATTTATACACATATAGCTCAAAGTGACTCCTTACTAAAGGATTTGCAGAACTTAATTATATTCATTTTGTGACAGAAATATTGTAATTACATAATTAAAATTAAAAGTATTTTCCGATTTTTGAAAAAAACGGAAGCTGTAAATAACAAAATGTTAATATACCTGAAATGTAACTCAGATATCTGGACTCACATTCAAGCACAACATTTGAAAAGATTATTGTAGGACTTACATCTTTGATTTTGTTTGGTGCAGGTACATTGAAGCCTGGGAAATCAACCAGTTTGGAAACATCATAAGAGATGTTTTGCGAATTGGGGTTGTCATTGCCGTCATTTGAAACTAGTGAACAGATAAAACACGGATTCAGCTCAACCTCTGTACATTTCAAAATAATTATGTTTTGCACTATTTCGCTCAAAAGAAAATCAGTGGCATCACACTGGTTTCAGTTTCATTTTAAACGTACCATTTCCATCATACATCGTTAAGCCGGAGTTTTCCATCTCTGCCTCTTTGAGCCAACCTGGTGGGTAGCCCAGCTGCCTCATGCGATAAATCAGAGGAGGGAGGGTGTCGCCATCAATTCCCAGCGCTGTCAACAGTTCCTCGCTGTTTAAAAGCACAATGTGGTTTAAAACATTCAATGACCATTACTTGTTACAAGAGATATTGCATGCGATTAAATGATGTTTGTGTCTGTTGTGTACAAAATAACAATCCTACCTCATGACTCCAGGCTTGTATTTAGCGAACCGCTCCTCCACTTCGTCAGCATGGTATCGCTGGTTACTCTGCATGCCCTGGTTGCTGTTCTGATTAAACTCCTTTCTTCTCTCATTAATTGCAGCCATGTCTTTAGGCTAGGAAGTTAATAATATATAAATGTAGTAAATCAAGTTATGACTCTTCTCATTTTTAACTTAAGTTCTTGCGTGTTCTTACCTTGGGACAGTCTCTCAGCTGATGCCCGCTCAAACCGCAGTTGAAACACATAGATTTGGGTCTACAAGGAACAGATCAGTGATGGACTCATTATATAGTTAGATGCAACAACAGAACAAAACAGGGCAAGCAATAAACTGAATATGGAAAGTCAATAAAGCTCCATTAATAAGCCCAGACATACCTTTTATCTTTCATTTCTATTTCCTGTCCATCTGTGCCAATGACTTGGTTGAAAACCTGGTGGTAGCTATGCAACAATTCAGGAAATTCTCTCATGTTTGTGCAAAACAAAATCATTATCTTGTCTATTTCAACACCAAGGAAGTTTCCCTTATACACTGGATATTTTGAAATAAACTGAACCACGACAACTATGTCAGAAAATCCTCATCTCGTGACAAAAACAGTTCAAAACAAATGGCCTGACAGACTAGACAGACTTAAAGATACGTTGGAACGTCCCATCCATCTGTCAGCTGGGGGTTTTCATTCACCAGAGGCTGTCCAAGTTTATCAAGACTGAAAGTAGTGAAATATAAAACACTTCCAACCACCTAAGGAAGAACAATAACAAAAATATATGAGGCAATTTGAAAGTATGCCATATTGTTTTCCGTGTGGCAACAAATTGTGTGATATGCTAACCGCTTACTCACTTTAAAGGCTTCTGTTGTTGTTTTTACACTACTGGAAGACGACTTCTGCGGATCTTCATCCACAGCAAAAGCTGAGTTCTTCATGGAGGGTAGAACATTTATTTATTTGAGCAAAATCATAACTGCACTGATGTTGATCACAATAAAACACATTTGGGGTATATACCTGAGGTTTAATGTGAAAGGTGGATTTTTTCTTTTCATTGCTTGGGTTCTGGTGCTTCAAAATCAGACTACAGATGCAATCTTCAATTTCTTGACGACACTGCCTAAACGGGACATTTATTATTGGGTTTTATTTTATGATCATTGTCAACACAGTTTTTACACGCACACACAGAAAGGTGGTTATTATGCTTTAATTTTATAAACGTAAAAAACTAGTGTTGGAAAACATGTTTTAGCACTAACATTAACGTGGTTAAAACACATTTTCACCCTTATAAGCGAAACTCTCAACCAAGAAAGACGTGACAAAACGTACAAGTGTGCAAACCAAAAGTGAGCTTATTCAACAACATTCGTGATGAAAGACTGCTTACTTTGAAATCATGTTGTTTGAATAAAGGATTTGAAGAACAGGCCCGTCATAGTCGACATCTTTAATAGCAATGCCGCTGTAAAGTCGGGAAACATGTAGCATTGGTTACTTATCAGTTTCGTTTAAATTTGAAGTGCGCATTATCTAACACCAGCTGAGTTTACCTCGGTCGTGTCAGGATGTTCTGCTTTCTCCTCAAGCTCCTATGTGGCCTGCGAGTTAAGGCAAACAAGACAGTACAAGCATACAGTTTCAGGTTGAGCGTTTTGTGTGTTTTGGTTAGAAGACAGCCGGTGCTAGCCGACGGTAGCTACGTGCTAAGGTTGCATCCACACAGACAGAAGGATATTCTCCTCAGTGAGTCTCTGGATGGAGTCAGCGCTCTCCTCCGTCTCCTCCGTCTCCTCCTCGTCGTCTGTGAAGCGAATATGCGTCGGGACCGGCGGTGCGGAGTCGTCCAGCTGCTCAAAGAGCTCACTGTCCCCGAAATCAACTTCTGCCATTTTTTTAACCAGCTCTGCGCTACAGGACGAGAGGTCAGAGGTCGTAGCGGCTGCTCTTCGTATTCATTGGTCCTCCGTATGTCACGTGTTTGGTGAAAACGACGAGCTGGTTTTTTTGCCCCTAATTTTGTTTTACAGGTTGTGTAAATCTCATTAAAAAAAAAGAGATGGCTGCATAAAACCAAGCACTACGTTGAAGTTGCTAATTTTCTAACACAATATATAGTTGTATATAGATTCTCGTGTCTTTTGGAAAAAAGCACTTCAATTCATAGCGGCTGTCTGTGGTCTGTGAGACACAGTTGAGGGATTAAATGAACTCTCTGCACAATGTTTCTCTTCTGTTGATCTTGCTCGGTTTGAGGCAGTCGTTTGTGTTGTTTGCCTTCGTTTAACAGTGTTCCGGTAACATATTACGGGTTTTATACAGGATAAAACACAACTGTGACTGAGGGAGAAGCTTAATTTACTTCCAGCAATGTCAAGTTGCTCAACTATCCACTTAACTTTACCGCAGTGGGACGGGGGCTCACGGAAAATTCGCTTTATTTACTTGGTGAATGTGACATCGTTCAGGCTGACAGAGTGTCCCAGCAAGGTGAGTGTGAATATCACTGCATGTTTTTACTCTTACAGCTTCGAGGATGTATTCAGAATTTCCCATAACTCCTGAAACCAGCTGCCAGAGGGTGCTAAACTAAACTAAAGGATGCATTTTCACATCATTTTAAGTCTATTATCATTACAGTAAGTGTCAAAAACCCACACAGGTTGAGGTTTTCACATTACCCTCAGACTTTAGGAAGCAAAATGTCATAATCTGGATTAGAATCAATCCATTTTAATCCAGATTAGGACATTTAGATATATAACTGAATATTGTTTCTAGAGGAGCAACAGTAAAGTTTACAACAGCAAAGTCACTGTATAAACTCAGTAACAAGTCTAAAATGTTAAATGTAAAATTAATAATATTCCTGATCAGTCAGTATCAGTGCTTCCTCCTGTCATCTCAGATTAATGGCAAACTAAAATTTAGATTACATACACACAGCTTTATTCATTATTAGATTAACAAGAGCAACTTGAGACAAAGCAGGTAGAAATAGCTTCTACTTTGTACTTTGTGTTGTTGTCAACTCAATACATAATAAACATTTTGCCACACAAACACAAATTCGATGTAGTGTTTATTAGTGATTGTGTCATTTACACGAATACCATTTTAACACAGTTACTTCGCAAGAGATTGTTTTAATATAAAATCTGTCCATTTCCCAACGTATGTTAGTGTAAAGTGGCTTCATATGATTCATCTCTGTATCTGTTTCAGAGTCCGATGGTTCCTCTCTATTTAGGAGCAGATCTTTTCTCCAACACCGACATCCGCACAGAGAACCATCCCAGACACCATGCCAAGTTTGCCAAGAAAGGATTGGCAACAAAAATAAATTTTTCCCCAGGTAAAATGCACAATAAAAAACTGTACCAAGACATAACATTGACTTAGCTTCTATCAATGCACACTCTCAGTGATACTTCACAATGTTCTCTTCTCGTTGCAGCATTCAGGTTTCATGGGTTGAAGGTGCCTACTGTAAATAACAGCCTCTGGTTCTACAGCATTCAAGGACTCTTTCGAGTCGCCTTTGAAATGTACAGTAAGCAAGAGCAGCTTGCTGTGCTAGAAAACTTCCAGGTACAATAGTGTAGCAGTTTTCTCTAAAAGATACATTTAGTTTGTTCTATATTGTATACTCCAACTTCTTCTATCTTTTAATATGTGAATGTTTTTCTTTCGTAGGATGTTTGGAAAACGCAGATAAATGACAGCCCTCTGAAAATGGGTTACAGCCTCAGTGTGCAGCTCGACTTTGCTCTATCCAGCTGCTCGCATGATACAGGATCAAGGAATGAAATGTCACAACCTCAGCACTGTGACACAGGCGATACATCGGCAGATCACGATTATTGTTGTTTTCCCAAGAAGAACTTGCAAACTGAGCAAAGCCATCTAGTTGTATCCAAAGTGAGACAGAAATTGCACAGCTTGGAGGACAAACTCTCTTCTGAGACCCCAAGCTACACAAAGCTTGAGACGATCTTGCTGCTTCTGGAGAACATTGATCGGTATATAAATGGGAATCTAGAAGAAAAGGATGTTACAGAAACTGTGTTAACCCTGCTGAAGGCCAAAGACTGGGGCTGTGTCTATTCAAGTTCCCTGCTTAGCAGTATAGGACGTTGGCTTGGCCAGCAGTTTCACGCAGCCAACAGCAGCATCAGCCAGAAAGTGGAGGGCTTTAAAGTTCATCATATTGAGCGAATTAGTGACTTGCCTCCTGCCGAGGAACTTGCCACAGAGCTTTTCCCAGAAGCTATGCAAACACTGCTGCTTCATTGGATGGGCTTAAATGAAGAGTCCACCCTGGAGAAGAGACACAGCGAGTACCCAATCCTGCTCCTTATCCTCGAGTTTGCCAATCACAACCTCATCACTGGTGTGGCTCACGTGTTGTACTCCAGTCTTATATGTAAATAATTATAGGTTTCCATGTAAGCATCAACAAATCCCTGGAGTATTAGAGTACTGGATGCTCAGATAAATTGCAGCCACTGGAAACAAAATACATGGACCAGCAAGAGTAACGCTAATTTTTGTATGTTAATTTATCCTTTCTTCTTTTGGACAGTTTGTTTTTGCTACAAAGATTACTTCTATAACTCTGGAAACTGGATGACGACTCAATGTTAGTCAACTTTCAGCGGAAATATATTGCAACGTGGTCATTTTATGTTATTTTATGTTTAAAAACTAATACAAATGAATGTGAAGACAAATGCGAGTTATTTGTTTGTTGTAATGCTTAACTGTTAACAATTTTGAAACAGGATCCATCATTTGTATAATTTTGTATAATTTTGCCTTCATTTGTTGCAATATAAATTGATATTGGAATCTAGGGAACTTCATTTGAACCAAAATGTACACATAATCACATAAAATAAACATAAAGTGATATATAAAAAAAAACCTTATTCAACACAAAACTAATTTATTTCAAGAACAATGTGATTACTCCTCAAGCACATCTTTGTCCAAGGCAAGCCTGAAGACAATATGTATTACAACCCACTGTTTTGTTTTTCCCCCAATAAGGAGAAAGGAAACAGATTCTGATGATGCTACATTGACTTCAGATGCCTTTCATTAAATGGATGTAAACAGTGTTCACTTGAACCACATTATATTCAGTTTATGTTCAAACAATCACATATCAATATATATTTGAGTTTTAAAAAAAAAAAAGCTACCACATTATTCAAACCAATTTCTAATTGTAACCAGTATCAACCAGTCAAACTGATGCATCCTTTTGCAAAGATGTACAGATTAATAAACACTGAGGCAAACTCAGCATCTGGCTATTTACACTGTAATGTTCCAATATGTGAGATGTTTTTCTATAAATAAGTTACAAATTCAGAGCAACATCCATGCAAGCTTGAGGGCTGGCGATGAATTGGTGGTCCTATATGATCAGATGAGTGGCAAAAGACGGCCAGTGTTTGGCACTACATAGAGTCCATTCCACGTGAGAATGAGGAGGAGAAGCCGAGGCCCATTCCCCTCTGGGTGTGTGTCTGAGACCGAGCCATCTCATACTGAACGTCAAGGTTCCTAAACATCTCCTCCTGCTTTTGAAGAGTCTTAATGCCTTCATCAGTAATTGGTTTGGCAGCTTCAGCCTCATCGTCTCCCTATAAAAAAAGGCAGAAAATTCAATTTAATTCGGTTGATGGTTAGAAAGACGAAACACCCGCTGGTTAAGTAAAATACCAGTTATACTTACTTTAATACCCATTAGTTTGCGAAATTTAACATTTTGGTCCTTGTTTCCAAAGCTCAGCTTCTCCCACAGCTCAGCTGTCTGGGACTTGTCCTTAAATATTAAAAACAGAAAAGATAAACATCATGTAATGATAAATATATACAAATACTGTAAATCAAAATATCCTTTTCTAGTTTACACATTTTCAACACCCTATGTATACAAACGGAAAAGCTGGGCATGCTTAGAACTGGTGGATAAATAACAAATAACAGCGAAATCCAATCTTACCCCCTCCTTTTTCCCCTGCCATAGCATTTTTCTCTTTTTCTCCTGCTCTGCAAACTTCATTGGGTTTACAGAGGACGGGTTATAGTAGCTGGGCACAGCAATACCAGTCTCTGCCAGTGTTTTAGCTTGAAGGGCTGCCATCTGCGCTGCCATAGCAATCTGAGGCGTGACCTGCGTCCCAGAGGCCAGGAGGGCTGCCACATTGAGGCCAGGGTTCGAGGCGGCGGCTGCAGCAGCAGCAGCTACTGCGATAGGGGCAGCCACTGGAAACAAAATATACAGGAAAAGTAAGTAACTGAATCAAATGAGCCAGCTTTAAAACTTGGCTCAATAAGCGCCTCTCACCTGCAGCTATCTCCTGCTGTTGCTGCTGCTGTTTCTCAAACATTTCCTTCTCCTTTTGCTCCTGTAGTTTCTTGGCTCTCTCTAGCCTGGTAAGAAAAAGAGTGAAGATAATGTTACCTGTTTGGTTTAAAAGCATACTGTGTTCTCTGCTGTGCACCTAAAAGTGATAATATGCCCTGTAAGCAAAAAAATATATAGCATAACATGTTGAAGACATCAGCCAGACTTTACATAAGTATATTTTGAGCATTTTTTGCCTTTATTTAACAGGGGGCAGTACATATTTGAAAGGAAATGAGGGGAGAGAAAGGAGGGGCAACATGCAACAAAGGTCCCCGGCCAGACTAAAAAATATGGATGTTGAAATTACATGGTCTGTGTCTTAGACACCTAGGCCACCAGTACACCCCACCTATCATAATTTTATGTTTCCTTGTTTTCCTACCAATGTGATTTCCTTTTATGAACAATGCTCGCTGGCAAGTGCAACATGGATGAAAAGTCAGATTACAGCTAATGAATCTATGCTTGACTGCTAGCCATATCATCTTCTGAAAATGTCAGGCATTAATAAAGCAGTAACAATTGACAATGTCTGTAAAATAAGAAAAAAAAGGCTTTGTAACTGCATTTATGCAGATGCAATAAGAGCCACTAGCATTGCTCAGAATTGGCCAAAACAGAATGACCAACCATCTTTATTGTAAATGCCCTGTAAGCTGTTGCCTTGCCTTCTGGCCAGGGCCTCTTGTGCATCCATAGCTGTGTTTCGGCCCCGGAAGGCAGGTGGATTAACAGACCTGCTTCGACTCTTTCTGCGCACTTTCTCACTCCTTTTCTTTCGCTCCCTGGTGGAACAACCAAAAAAGTTAAATCAAGATACTGTTGACATGTTATAAATGACATATAGATAAATATAGAATGGCAATTTTGCAGCACAAGAGTTCAATAATACAGAAAACGCTGACGTTTTAATTAAACCTACCTGCTCTTACTGCGACTTCTGCTATGATGACGGTGTTTGGTCCTTGAGCCTGAGCGAGACCTAGCCTTCTTCTTCCTGTCCCGGCTGCGCGATCGTGATCGGCGTTTGTCCCTACTTCTGCTGTGATGCCGCCTGAAAGCAATAATACCCATCAAAGAAATTAAGAAATAATGTTCATTCGTGGGGCTTCACTTATATAAAGGCTCCAGCTAAAGCTTCATCAAGGCAAACTCAACAACTAATTAATAAACTTTAATACACCCTTGATAACACGTTTTCCATCAAACAAGTTAGAAGACCACATTTCTTTATGCCGTTTATTGCCCAGACTAACCTCTCTCGAGAGTGTGACCTGGACGCGCTGCGGCCCTTGGACGGCCTCTTGTCCTTGCGTCTGGAACGCTCCTCTCCGTTCTCTGCTGAAAGTCTCTCTGGCTCTTGCTGCTCATCTGTTTTTCTATGTGATTTGGATGGCTTCTGAGAGTCTCTCTTTCGTGCCTGTTTTAAGAAGAAGTTGTCTCTTTCAGGAAAATAGTGCAACAAAAAGAGTTAGTACCATGGCTTAGAGCAGAAGGTATTTAATTAAAATTTTGACAAGTTGAAAAAAAAAAAAAAACCTTGTCATTTCAAATCCACTTTTACAACATATACAGAATATCGTTCTGTGAAGATGGTTGCAAGTGTGGGCTCTTATAGGAAACAGACTAAGTTGACTATGCTCATTTCAATAGAATCATAGGAATTAATCAACCCAGCCAGCCAAATATTTTAATAGTGTGCATGCAAACCTTAAGATGTAATTCTCAGGGGAAAAAATGAAATGTAGTTTGTCAGTTCAGCAACAACAATTTAATGTTACCTAAATGTTTTGAACATGAACCCACTGAGCTGGAAGCAGGGATGGGCATTAACTTACTTTTAACTGCTTCTCTACTTACGCCATCCAAATCATATAACACACAATAATAAATTCACATGAAAAAACACTGGTTAACTTCCTAAATTAAAACGATGCATTTGTACGATGTATTTTTTTGGCAAGTTTAACATTCCTATTATGTCTTATGTCAAATTCTCATACCACCTTTATCTCATGTGAACACAGTTTGGAATGGGTCGTCATATCACTAAAGAGGGGGACAGTAGTTATACAGACTCTTTATACAGACAAATTGGTCTTACAGGCAAAACTGCATAATTACATAGGCTATGAGAAAACATCAAGAGATTCTGTTTGGGTTCATTGAAGGATTAGTTTAGTTATGCCCATCCCTAGCTGAAAGAGATGCAAAAGTTATTTTTTTTCTACCAACAGTGTGAGACAAATAGAGTTTGAATGGCAGATAGTTACCTGTCCCAGTAGTAGACATATTATTTTGCTATGTCAGCAGCGTCTTCTGTTCAGTCTCTTCGTGCAATAGCACGCTGAGTATGATTTATTGTAGAAATGTTATCATGTGATCTACACACAGGTTTTTAACAAAAAATAAAAAAGGAAAAAAAAAAATCTACTCTTCACCATTTTATATGGTTACAAATAATGACAGACATCCAAGGATGAAAGCTTCCTTTGAGACATGTCAACATAGGGAGGGTAAAAAAAAAGGACCCTTTCCATGTGAGTAAGCCATCTCCATCTAAGTCTTTTGTTCTTAACTTTGGTTATTGTAACTTATCTAACCTAATAAAACATACTCACCTCGGCCTAAAACTAACAAGGACTACAACTTAAGGCCTTCAAAATCACATCACATGTGTTTCTACTCATAGAAAGTAATGTATTAATTACCTCTTTGCTCCTGCTGCGACTCCGTCTGTATTTTCTGTCACCTGGAAACAGCAGAAAGCAGAATAAAATAACGTTTTCAGCAAACTTGAGATAAAGAAAAACGAGAGAAACAAACCATAAAGCTACTGTTTAAAGTGTTTTACACAATTAGTGGACCAGAAGAACAAATTTCAGACCATGAACCTAAACTAATTTTTCTGGCACATTCAGCCCTGTTTGGGTATCGTTACTGAATACTAACGTTTTCGGTCCCTGGAGCGTGACCGCGACCGCGAATGGTGATGTTTGGAGCTTCTGGGAGATCTGGACGACTCCATGTTGTGCTTTTTTCTGTGAGGAACTGGGGAACCAGTTCTGGTCAAGTCGACAGAGTCGTTGTCACTCGCCTGAAAGAAATAGATATCAGCATCAGACATCAGCAGCAAGTCACTGTGGCAGTGTGAACTATGAGCACATAGACCATTACAGAACATATAATACATACAAATATAACTGGAATTAAACGGACACACACAGACAATGAGGATCTACTCTATGCCAAATATCCCGAACGGGTCTTTAAATACAAATACAGATGCTTTATAAAGTGTTACTGGTGCCAAAATGATGCATTGGTTAGTTAAACGAGTGGTTAATTGTAGTTATGAACATTTATCAGAGACTCTTAAAAAGATAAGCTACTCAAAGCAGTAATTGTTTGATTTATCAATACTGATAATGTCTGTTTGTATTAATATTATAAAAATAATATTATAAATGCACATTATTTAAGACAACTTGTCAGCAGAGTGAGTTGATTCAAACAGTAAATGTAAGATAACGTGTTTTTCGCTGTGCTATTGTTGAAACATTTTGCATTATATGAGGTTTATCTTTTTATACTGCACATTTTGTTTTTGATGCTCAGCACTTTTAATCCACTATACGTGCTACGGTACTTAAATCATCACTGATGCTTGTTTAAAATCAGTCCAGTCAGGTCCGCTGGTGAACAATTAATAGAAAAAGACACACTGGTTTGGTATAATTCAGTGAATGTAGCAGTGGTTAGATTAAAAAACAACTCTTTCAATCAATAGACTCGATTATCTGAATTAAACCTCTCAGGTCATCACAATGTTAAACAGCAGCTACTGGTGTTTACATGTGAAGCATCCGGACCTAAATGTAACTACATCGACTTCATCAGCATTATTAACACGATATAATTACATAATATGATATTATATGTGTTTTAATCCGCGCTAACTTCGTCATTCATACTTAGCGTTAGCACAGTGAGCTAACCAACGCTAATCGCCATCTTTATTTAAAAAAAAAAAAAAAAAAATTTCTAAACAGAATCGTAAACTTATAATCAGGTTATTTAGACGTCGCTGTATTCGTGTATGTGTTGAGTATGTGATTACAATGGTACTCACCGACATACTGCTGAAGCACGCTGTTTGTTTCTGTGTAGCACGGAGAGGTAGCTAGCTGCTAGCTGCTAACAGCCGTTGTGCGGCTCCGCTCGGTTTATACTCGGTTGCCAGGTTGTTTCTCTTTAATCCCCCAACACCCTACATTCAGGAGAATCACTGAGAGATTTGTTCAACCCAGTTTGAATGGGCTCAACAGGGATTTCAGGTCAGTTTCAACACTGTGGGTGCGAGGTTTGATAAAACAGGATAATTTAATACACTCTTTTTTTTTTTTTTTATGTTTAAATCGTAGATGTATTGAAGCGAGTACAGCGCGGAAAGACTGTCCACCTGGCAACCGAGGCAGGCTCCGGGTATTCTGGCATGCCCCGCCCTCTGTGTACTACTGTTAATATCCCTAAAACTTTGTCGGTCAGGCAGCGCACCGCCAACCAAGCATCGTCAAATAAATTGACAATAATACCTCACAATGATAACAGTGAAATTAAAGCTGGCTGGTGTGTACTTCTGCCCTTTCTAACGAATAACTGTAGATTTGTACGTCCTACAGAGGAAGTGTATCTGGAAGGAAAACCGAGGATAACAGTTACTCCGCCCTCTGTTAACCTACAGCAACCCTCCAAATTCAAAGCTAACTCACTAAAACAGATTGAGTTAATGTAAATTCTGTGTGCTAGTAGCTGTCTGAATATTTTCAGCAGAGTGGTGAGGTTATTCATCTATGAATAGACTGCTAACCTGCAGTTGCATTGTCCATAAGACATTCATCTTGAATGCGTTGTCTTAAACTCGTCTGAAGTTTCGTTAAAGTGCACATAGATAAGCTAAGTTAAGCAGTCTCATGTGTAGACAACTTCACATTGGGTTTTTATTTTTATTTTTTTTTGGATAATATTTACACTTTCTTCCACTTAGCTCCACGAAATGCGATGTGGAGCCGACGATGATACTTCTGACAAGCGAGGATACCAAACACTGTCCTTTCGTGGGTCAAGGAGAAGGAAAAATGCACGGCTTGTAGTAGGATACACTGGTCAACGATTCCACTGCCAAGTGAAGGAAACAATATTACATCTTGCAGCACACGAACTCGAGCATCCTGGCTTTATTGTCATACTGGGGAAAACACTTGCTACAGCAGCTCAGAAACAACCACACGTACAGAGAGAAAAGTACAGCATTAAGTAAATGACAACAATAGAAATAGATAGAAAAAACTCAGATATAATTTAAAAAGTAGGAAAAAAAGTTTATGTACTCTAAGCAGATGTGATATGAATGGAGGGATTGCATGGTTACAGCAGGAGTAGTGTGCTGGTGTAAAAGTATTAATGCACAGAAAATATTGTCTAAGATATTAATGAACTGTACAGTACTAATAGTGCAAGTAGTGTTGATAGACTGTTACAGAGAAAACCAGAGCTGCTCACATTATGTGACGTATATCTGAGCATTTATACCCCACGATACAGACCTGCTATGGGATGAAAAGGAATCCTAGCTGGTAAGCAATGTTAGACCCATCCACGTTCAACACAGACTACACAGAAACCTCATCAGAATCCTGTATAACCTGCACAGTATGCGTGTCCTACAGATGTACCGCAACAAGGAGGGTGGGACTCAGTGATTAGGAGGCAATAAGCCTGGTTCTTAGGGTGCGCAGCGGAATCCGTTGTCTCTTCGCATTCCCTCCAAGTGGTTCCAGCACACTGAGCCTTCTGGTTGTTGCCTCGACAAAGACGGTCCTATCCTTGCCTTTGACCAAACTATCACAATCCTCCCTGCTGTCATTCCTCATCGTACGCACCGTCTGAACATCTATTTCTACCTGGTTCTTCCTTTTGCTCTTCACGCTGTCATTCAGTTCTGTCGGATGTTCAGGTTTGCTTCTTTTGAGACGCTACAGATTGTCTTCATCAAAATCAGCTGTCCAATGGTTTTTAAGAATCATGAGGGGGACTGGCTGTTCTGTTTTGTTAAGTGCTGGCTGTAAGTCCAAAAAATCAGTTTAAAAGATATAAAAGGTTAGAACGTCAGATTTCACAGCACAAAGTCAATGCCTTTTCTACTGATGCAGTTCGACTTTCACAATAAGTGTAAAAAACAAGAGTTTTTTTCAGAAACTGATGTGGATGCCATTGACGTATAGCTGAAGGTCAGTTTTTGTGGCTTGGAAGAAATGGAACTTCATTTGATCGATGTTCCACACAAGGAGGATCCTTCTCACCAGGATGGGTGGTTTGTTTAAAATATAGTTCATAAACCCTCTAGTGTTTCGGATTAGAATGTTTGTTCATTGTAAGTGTTTTAGATGTTATCTTATATTTATATTTATTTAATTATTAACGTTCTTGATTCCTGAAAGCGCTCTATATAAATGTATTAATTATTATTTTATTATTATTATTAATATTACTCTGTGCTGGCATTGAATGGTTATATTGTTCCTTCTGATTTTATCTCAACATGAAGAGAGATAGTGGCCCAGCCACGCAATCTAATAATTTGTGTCTTGGTTTCAATGAGATTTTTCAGTTTAATAGTCATGGCTGGGTTTCACTTACTGCATTAACATCTTGTGTCTTTTTTCGGGTTCTTGTACCTTGTTAGAGAAACCTATGCAGTGGAGTATGAAAACATACGCTGATCTCATCATAGAAGAGGACAAGGCATCCTTCGAGGTAGAACTTCTATATGAATCAATGAGAAGACAGTGATTTATCTCCTACTATGTCGGTGGAATGTGATTTCCTATGGGTCAGTTGTTATTAAGATATTTTGTTGTTTTGTTGACAGGGATGACATGTGTATTTCTCATAACGGGATGCGCTCCTCTCCCATTACACCAAACTTGCCTGGCACACCCAACGACGACAGCGTATTAAGACACCACTGCACTGTGTGAGGACACACTGTACCAGCGGTCCTCTTGTGGAAGCAAACGGCTCATGCTAGGTTAATTCCTTACTTGCAAGTGCCAGGGTTCGATCCCCCTTCTTCCTCCTTTCAAGCCCTCATCGTTCTATCACAGTGTATCCTCTCTCACAACCAA